GGTTCATGGGGATTTAAACGTGTGACAATATTTTACTTTCAAAACCAAAGTTACCTTTATAAATACGAATTTCGCCTTTTTAGTCTCAACAGACAACAAAAATAAAAAAATACACGAATTTTAAATGTATAACTGATTATTCTTGATTAAATTAAACAATGACTTACCCTGTATACAATACGGAGAGAAATGTATAGTAAATTTTAGATAGTAAAAAAAATATAGTAAAATTTACTTTAACAAATTTTTAGGGTAACAATATTATATATTCGTCAATCCAATATTAAGATTGTAATACCAAAATACTATTCTTTATTATACAATTTTAGTAAAGATTACAACACCAATATTACTAAATCATAAATGTATAATATATATTTTAATTTTTTATATATTCGTATAGTAAATTGATTTTACTATCTACAAAAAGTAATATTTACCATATGATTTAATCAAATGTAAGGTGTACATTTAATTATAATATATTACACATTAATAAAAAACATAGTAAAAATAAAGATACTTTTATGTTTAAGGTAAATAAACAATATATTTAAATATAATATACAATATAGTAACTCATGACATTTTAAACATTCAATTTTCTTAGTTTCTTCAATAAACTTTCTTGACCCATTACTGGTAATACTTATATATAGTATATAGCATAGTATGTACCGATTGCGGCGAAGGCCACGTCGCGACGCGTCGTTTCGACGGTGTGGATCACTTGATGTTCTTACATCTCGCCTCTGTTGGCTTACCAACCATGTTATATAATCTCAGGTATTTCTTTGTTTTAGGTGTGTTCCACTACTACAAGTTGCTCGACAGTGTCGTGTCGACACTGATGATACCCAATATAGGTCAAAACACCTGTCTGTCGGTATTTGAAGTTGATGGAACGTACTCAAAACAAAAAACTTTGGCGAGGTGTAGGTTCAATTATTTATCATAACATTTTTGTATATTAAAAAGTACAATAAATATGTTACAATTTTTAATTGTTAACACATAACAATATTCGATTTTAAAATATTTTATATTTAAAATGGCAACATAATATTTAAAAATTTACTATAAAAAAAATTTTATTATAATAAGAAATAAAAACAAAATTGGTTGAGAATAATATTATTTTACCTTAAGGTTTAACATACATGGATATTTAAAAATTACTAAATATGCATAGTATCTGGCAATATACAAGATAGTTGTCCCAAATAGTAAAATAAATTATAGTAAAGGGTATTATAATTATGGTAATCAGCATTATACTTTTCTCTCCTTGTATTTTTTTTCTTATAAATTCTAAAAAATATTTCTTTAAAACTTTTGTCGATAAAAACAAAATAAAGGCAACTGATTGCGATCCTGCTTTCCCTCAAAAAACTTTATCCATTATATCGCGCCAGTACAAAGGGGAGACAATGATTCTAAAAAAACAGCAGTCAAGTTTGATGGCTTCGGGTGGCCCTTAGATCAAGAAGACCTCGTGTTATGAAGTGGCGATTGTGCCCAGGAGTGCAGCAAAGTTCCGTTTGTCCTGCCGTATAGCAGCAGGATACAATGGCGACCCCCCCTAATAACCAGAACAATAATCTCTAGACAAACGACATCCGTTTAATTGTTGTTTAAATGGAATTAATACGCTGTGTGGGGGGCCCAAATCTTACAAGCAATTTCAATGTCGTAATTAAGTTTAATAAAGTTTATCAATTTCGGTTATATTGAGGTTTGATCAAGAGGTCTCACAATTCTAATTCTAAAGTGTATGGTGCCAAACAAGTAATATTTTTGTGCATTTGGTCCAAATATCTGGTTTTCTCCATAAAATAATTTTAACTAAACAGCATTTATTTAAAAAAATCTATCTTCTCTATTATGGAATAAGAATTTTTGTATTTTAATTTAAAAATGTGGTAGTTTTTCTTATCCAGCTTAAAGTGTACCTACCTACATAAAGTTTTGTCAATACAAATAGTTAAAAAGCTTCGACTGAATTTGATCTACATCAAAAAATCATTATAACTTTAAAAATTTTAATAAATCATATGTCATGGGAGTATTAAATATTTTCACATTGCAAGTTTCTCTAAAAATTGTTTGTTTTCTTATAATCTAACTTAAAGTAGGTATGCCGAGAGGTATTCACAAGTTTTGTCGTTAGAAGTATAAAAGCTTCAATTTAATTTGAACTATATTCAACAATTATTTAGTATACCTATATTTATTTATGACCATATTAACACACTCTTTCAAATAATCCACTTATTAATTTTGGTCAAAATAGATTTTTCTAACCTTAAAATACAAAATAAGATGATATTTTTTGTTCTAATACATTAACCTACCTTTAATACAGATATTCTTATTTGATAATAGAGAAGTTAAATTTTTTTAAATAAATGCTGTTTAGTTAAAACTATTTTATGGAGAAATTTAGACCCAATGCACAAAAATATCACTTATATTGCACCTTACACTTTGGAATTTCATTAAATGCAGTATTTATATTCCTAAATTCTTAAACCAACCATTATTATTGTGATAATATAAAGATTTATTAACTTTTAACGCTTAAAAGCGGTAACACTATAAATATTATTTCTTTCATTGACTATACTTTGACAGATACATAACCTGAAAAGCCTTAAATGCCAAATTTTCAAAAGACTGCGTTCCGTACTTGGTCACGTGGTGGGACTTTGAGGTGTGGAGCATAGTACTTAAAATTCATTAAAATTTTAGTTTTAGTATTTAAAATGGGATATTGTTAAGATAAATATGATCTATTTGCCGTATACCAATTACTTTAGTATATTCAAGATAAATTTAAGCCAAAATAATTTAATAAATAATTAAAATACCAACAAAGAACTTACATTTTAAGGTGATTGAGCAGAGCATTTTATTACGAAATTATTTTAAATCCTAGACGTCCTAGAGAAAAACCAATGACATTTTTGAAATCAGCGGCATTTATAAATTTTTTGATTATAAATAAATTATCCCAAAATCATTTAAAATTCAAAACATTTATTTTAATTAAAATAACCGAAGCGGTATAAATTTTGTGCATGAACAAAAACAAAAAGTTTTCCGACAAATCGGATCCTGTTCGCCGTTTATTTCTCTGTCAAAGAACATATTTTATTTACTATACAATATTTATGACTGCCATCCAAAACATATTTGCAATTGTGTGTGGATTCACATGAAAGGATTTATTCGACATAATTTATTAAAAAGGAATCTTCTGCTTGAATGAAATGCAGAAATATTTACGTGCTTTCATGAAAATCCCCTAATAAGGGCCTAATAATATTTTTAATTAAGTTAGCAGACTTAATTAATTTCTTGGTAATAATCCACACGAGAGTGTCGGTAATGACATTCTATATTTTAGCAGAATGCTGTTAAATTTGGCACGGGGAATTTCAATAATGGAGACGCGTTTCAAACAAAAATTTTGCATTTTAAAATGTTCAGTTTGCTGACAAAAGTTTTATTTTATTCTAGTTGAGCTTATCCTAATTTTAATTTAATTTACACACAATTTAGTATCCAGCAAATTTGTCTGAAAGTCAATTTATTATATACCAATTTAAAATGTTTAAAATCCACGAAAGTTTCCACCAAAATGACAATGATCTCGATCTATTATATGACGCTGTATACAATTATAACTATCTCAGTCGGTAATAATATAGAACCACTTTATTTTGGGTCCAATATAGGACAAAAAAGTTCGCACGTTGCTTTGGTGGTGAGATTTTTGTTTTTTGTTAAGAGCAGGGCTGTGTTTAAATTACAACAAAAAATATTCCTAAAAAGTGTACAGATCATGGTTTAAACATTGTCACTTTAATGCTGGTTGGGAAAAAATGTTAATTTATATTATTGGACATATGTTCAATATCATACTATATTTGTATCCCGGACCTTAACCAGACAATTCTTATGTAAAATTGACCCCTGAATCCGAAAATCCGTCAAAAACTATCAAAATTAAGCAGTTTTTAAGATATATCTATATATAGTCAATTCCATATTATATGTAAAATTGATAATATTTTAAAAACTGTTCTATTTTTATAAATTTTGACGACATTTTCGGATTCAGCGAATATTATTTCATAGGAATTGACTGCTAAATGTCCTGGATACAAATTGCTGTTGACGAGAATTATTAGCGGCTGCTTTTTCGCTATGACATTTTTGACTAATTCATTTTTAGAGAGTAAGTAATTTAGTGATTTTTTCGTCAAAGGACATCTTGCATAATAACAGTGATTTAAATACAGTGCATGATAGAGAACATAAAAAACTAATGGCAACAAAATTAATAAACTCGGAAAATACTTTTAACATACCACCCGAAAAAATATTATATATACATAAATCATCCTGTTCCGGCCTAAACATTATAAATGCTTCACAAACTAGAGATACCACACTTGATGATATTTGCAACAAACTATTTCAGAAGTCAGACCAAGGAATTGGTAGTTACCTTCAGAATCCAGAAAAGAGATGAGGAATCCGAAAAATTGTATGTCCAATTACTATATAAAATGTCCAATTACTATACTTTTTTGCATAATTTTATAAAACTATAATTAAAATTTTTGAAAAATTATATCATAATTTTTTTTTAATTTTCATATCTGATGTGCAAATCCACGAAATTTTCCACTAAAATGACAATGATCTCAAACTGCATTATATAATTTTCTTCAAAATTGATATTGGAAATATGATGATGATTATTTATTAGGTAAAATATAATTTGTTTAATATAAATGTAAAACATTTCATGATGATGGAATTAACAATTCACTTTCATTAGATGATTTTTCAGAAAAGTTAAAATCTTTCCGCCAACAATAATAATATGCTTACTATAGGCGTAAGACACATATTTTTAAATAATAAATAAAAATTTCTTTTTACTTCTAAAAATCTTCGTTTCACAGAATTTAACATTTTTTACCCACCTTCTCCATTTTTTATCATATAAAACAGCAGCAGAAACAATGGGAAACTGGCAAAGTGTATTCGATTTATTTTCTTCATATCTCGACGAATTTTCATATGTTCTCTGCATTTCGAGGTTTTTCGATTGTTAAGTTGTCATCCCTATTTTGGAAGATCATCGGGCAGATTTGTTCCCCTCTGTGGAGAGTCCATTTAACCACACTGTCACAGTCAACTGAAAAAAAGAAATGGAAGTTTTATTTTTTGTCTTTTTGCATTGCATACTCTTAATATAAAAGTTTGTGGAATAAACCAATTAAAGGATATCATACAAAAGTGCTCTTTTAGTGAGAGGGTTAGGGGTAGGAACGGACCACGGGTTTAACAATCAAATCAACTACAAATGAAAATATTTTCATTCATACAACTTTCATTGTATTAAGTCGTATTAAGTTATTGGTATTCATTCAAACGAGAACTGTAATAATTATTAATATAGTCCATTAGTGCACTATGTAACTATCGGAATAATAGCAGAACTTTAAGCTATTCTCCGATTACAGCGAACGCGGTATGTAATAAGTATTTCGCTATCTTTGAATTGAAAACGGTTCCCTATACACGTGAGAAGTAAATTTAATACTTGGTATAGCGATAGAAACTAATTCTAATACCCTTTGATAAGAAAATGAAGTATTTTACATTTAAAAACAACATCCCACTTCATTGATTTAATTGATTACACTATGATAGTTTAAGAAACTTTTTTTTTTTAACATTAAGTACTCCAGCTTAGTATATTTATCTTAACAATATGACATTTTAAATACTAAAACTAAAATTGAACAAGTATTTTTTATACAAATTAAGCCCTCAAATTTAATGCATTGCATAATTTTGCTTTTTTCTACCTTAAATTTATTAAATTGTATCAAATATCGAATTGTATTATAGTATTATTGTGCTTAATCCTCATCATCGTCGTACATCTTTTGCTGCAAATTCCAGCAAATGTCTTCTAGCAATGAATCCAACTTCTTTCCGCTATACCCATAGATATCTACCAATGCTCTAGATTTGCAGTTACTTGATGAAATCGTTCTCCATGTTAATCAGTTCGGCAAATTTATCAGGAAGAAAAAAAAAGTATTTTAAATGACATATTAACGCTAATTCTTTACAAAACGGAGAGCATTTTTTTAATGAATTGGCGCCAATTTTAGGCCCGATATGAACCAAGAACAGTTTCAATGACAGCTTTAACACTGCCATATGCGACAAGCTCGTCAACTTTGAGAGCATTTTTGAATGCTTGATCTTTTATTAAACGACGCGTCGTATATCAGTTCCTGCAAAATTAAAGAAGTAGGTATATCTCATACAATTTTGTACAGAAATATTGCGTTGTTTTTCTTGGGCGTAAAGGTACCGAAACAAAAACAAAACAAATTTACAACGACGGCATAAATGTTCGTCTACTTTATCTGCCACTTCCATTTCCTGCTTTTTTCATTTTTGGTTCTTAAAATCACTTTCAAGTAAAAATACAATTTAAAGTTTAAATTTTAAATGTCAATAATTAATAGATGCACTTTAATGTGCTTGAACGATAAAGTAGATAAAGGCGCCTTTATAGATCTGTACGATTTAACAAAAGTGCTTTGAATTAAACTTTGTAAAATGGAAGTAATTTTGCATTATTGCAAATGGTAAATGATTTAATAATTGCCAATATAAATGTATGGAATCAATATTTGAATTCGGATTTATACTTAATTGCTTGGGTAATATATATTCCAATTAGTTTATTTGTATTACCCATATTTATTGGGGATTTAAATTAAACATTAATGCATGTGGCAGAAGTTAGGCCCTTTTAACCTTTTGGTTAATAATGCATACATTAATATTTAAACCAATACGAAATCAGCAATCATTTCTGAATAAACTGGTTTTATGGTATACAATTTCCTTCATTAAAATTAATTAATGATTAGTATTTATATGAAAGTTTGAAACACATCCATATTTAATTTAAGTGTGGACAAATATAAAATAATTTTCAATAATAACCACTAAAACCCAATATAGTTTCTAAAACTCAGTAGGTGTACAATTTCCACCTTATCTGGCACGTATAAACGTCGCTTCTAATTAAATCTGTTGGATTGCGGATAATTCGATTTACCACTTATAATTAAATTCCCACGAATTTATTTTATTGCAAAACTTAATTTCTTCGTAATAATCCTCACAAGAAAGTTGGTAATGACATTCGATATCGAACTGCTGTTAAATTTGGCACGGGAAATGAATTTCAATATTACTTGGAATCCGAATGCTGTAGACGCGTTTCAAACACAAATTCTGCATCTTAGAATGTTCAGTTCGCTGACAATTCAAGTTGAGCTGACCCCAATTCTAATTTAATTTACATGCAATTCAGTTTCTACCTAATTTGTCTGAAAGTCAATTTATTAGATACCAATTTAAAACGTATAAAAAATGTCAAAAATTAAAGAAAAAATTTATAATTTGCATATAAATTGCATATTAAATGGGCAAATCCACGAAAGTTTCCACTAAAATGACAATGATCATTTTCATAATTAACCGCAATTTATTAATTTTTACAATGTTTTAAAAGTCTAAAACCTATCCTCCGTGACTGTTACTCTTTCTAGGTTAACCTATATGTCTTCAATTATCTGAGGTGGTAAAAGCATACTAAAAATATCAGTTCACTAAGTAAATTAAACACATCCAATCGAATCAAATATAAAATATTATTAAAAATTAAAAGAAATAATTTTTATAACCATGTATGTAGGTGTTACAAAAATTGATTCTATTCTCCGTGAATCTGTTTTTGCTTTAAATTTTATGCAACGGATGGCGCTTTAATCATTTTAAATAAGGAAAAACCTCTGTTTACGACATTATACGAGATGCATGTGATTCCTAAGGGTCAGTTAGAATTTATATACAGATGAGAGTGTTGCTGTTTTATAATTCAAAAGTTTAAGTTCATTAATTTGCTATTTAAAAACCTATCCACCATGAAGTGTAATATCTCAGTAAGTAGATTTTTTTTATAAATATTTCATGTATGTATACATATATGTATTTTTTTGAAATATTAAGGTGTCAAAAGATACAATAACTTATTTCAAATATACAAAGGGATGTTTAAAAAAACATACGAAATCCTAACCTCCGTGAAGCTCTAATATTCAAAATATATGATTTCTTAAAATTCTTGCATTAGTGCAGAACCACTTATGTTATGTTATTACTAGACCTGGTGGCTTCCCAAAAACCCCATTCTAGACTAACAGTGAAACAACCAAAAATAAAAAATAATCATTTTCACTTCACATTTCAATATATTCACCCATATGTATGTATAGTTATCGGTATTTAAATTGTCAAAAAAGTCAACGTAAATATGAGACCCTGTTTAAAACCGTGTTTAAAAATTTCATAATGCTAATATTAACTTAATCTTACGGGAAAACTTTAGCGTTCATTAAAAGTTAAAGGATATTTAGAAAACTTCGCTTTTGTTTAATGATTTTCGATAAAAATTAAAATCCTTCCACAAACAATGTTTTCAACCATAATTAGAGGATTAATTTATAATTAAGACTCGATCACTTAAAGAGCTATCAATAACCTAATTTATCTCTATTTATAAGGGGTTGCAAATAAAGCATTTTTAACTGCTTTTATATTTTGTGAGCGCTTTACAAAATATTATACTTAAAATTCAAGATAGTGAGGTAAAATACGGGTTTTTAATTATGTATATACCTTGCCAAGTTTTTAATATTCCGAGGTAATAAGATAATGATTACACCCAAAACTTGCTCGATTTATAAAGTGCTACAGGTTTCTGTAACCAAAGATTATGTTTAGTTAAATGAACAAAAAAGTAAAAATATATTTTGGAGAGAATTTTCATTAGACAAAACGCTATTCCTCAAGCTTTAGAAGATACTTTAATAAAACCCAATTTTCAACGGTAAAAAAAGACACATCAAATCAAATGTTAATGATAGTTTCAATTTTGCTCGCATCTAAATGAGTCCAATTTTTTGCTTCTATACTCGTAATAATGAGAATCTCGTCAAATATTTGATTTCGTATTTAATGCGCTTTTTTGTACACAGGCTTCAAGATTTCACTATAATTTTATATTTAAATTAAAATATTTACGAATGAGTATAATTAATTTTTTTTTAATTTATACAAAATTAATAAAAATAAAATAAAATTTTTAATTAAAAATTGGGGGTAACTATATTATATAATATATTTAATTTTTCTTTGGTTTAAGTTTTATACATTATTTAATTCGGTGATAATTATCAATTGCGCACCATGGTCACTTTTTACCTGCCAGCAATAAATACTTTAATTTAAAGGATTATTAATTATACTATTTTTAATAAAAATACCTCATTTAAGGTTAAAAAAACATTATTTTGCCAATTAATTAATTTTATTCTAATTGAGGTATAAAAAATGGTATTTAGTTATAAATAATAATTATTATTGAGGTATTATACTATGTATACATAGTTTAGCATTATTTAATCAATTAGACACAAATAGACCTCCTTTCGTTAAGCAGTTATTCATAATGGATTTTTTAACAGTGAAAGAAAAAATAGAAATGATTTTGATTTATGGAGAAGCAGGCAGGAATCTTGATGATGCTGTTAATATTTACGATCAGCGTTTTCCAGAAAAAAATCGATCACGAACTTCATTTCGCCGCACATCAAGCAGTTTACTATAAACGGGAGTGTTCTACCAAAAAAATGAGTTCGTCGACCAAATATTTAATATTGTTATTTTGAGCACCTACTTTGATTAAAATTAAAAAAAAATAAAAATTAAAAAATAAAAATGCATACTAACTGAGATATTTCAAAGTATCAAGTTAACTCAATAAAATGCAAAATATCTGCAGAGTATTATTTTTAGATACATTTCCCATTTTTATTAAATTAAATTTCATGTACACCGGCAAACCGTTTGTAAAATAAACAATCCTGCTATGTTAGGATATTGGAAAAACATAAAAACATTTTATCTTGATGGTATAGCGAACTATAGCACGTATTGTTAGCGAAAAAAAGGAGTATATAACTAACTGAATATATGTTCACTGCTATGAAATTTTCCCTGATAATCTTGCGGGTTTTTTGTACCGCAGAAATTATGGAAACCATGTAAGGCCATTCGTCAAAACCCTCATAACAGGGGGAAATCATAATTTGAAAGTACACACTTTCAAGATATAAATAACGTATAAAAAACACAAGAGAGATAAATATGATTTATTTATCTCCAACCTCAACTTACAAGAAGGATTCGTAATATATAGTTGTCAACTTAAAATTTATTGAGGATTTTACGAAATCTGATAAAATTTGTAGAAGTTTATTTATATTTAATTTAAAAAAATTACAATAAATATTTATTTGAGACGTTTTTATTAATAATAAATACAGCAATTTTATTTACTAACAATATATTCTGAAATTTAATTTATTTTTTATAAAAAAATTATTTATTTGAGTCGAATTTATTTGTTATTAATATACTAAATTTGTGTCAAATAAAATCGTTTATTAATTTATTGTAAATATACGTTATATTCGTATTTAGTTCACAGTTTATTAATAATAAATATTGTTTATTAATAGTTGCCAAATTTTTATTTCGTAAATAATGATTATTATAAATAAGTCACATTTTCTAACTATTAAATCATATTGTTTGTAAAAAATATGATTTATTAATAATTAACAAATGGAATATCGAAACGCGTCGTTTTACCTCGGACGACTCACTTCACTTTAAAATGTCACGTAGTGGGTGGTTTACATCTTTGCTGATAAAGGTGGTGGTGGTTTGTGCTCTGTTTGTGCTTTTGCATCATTTTTCATATAATAATTGCGTATAAACTGTTGCAGTGATTGTGTAAGTACATAATAATATTTTTCTACGGTATTAAATGCTAACAAAACAAAAATAGGTCCTTAAACATGGATGCTGACATGGTCATAATAGATTCTAAACTATTATACGGTTTAGAAGATCTGGCTAATACTTTTAAAGGTAAGTTTATTATAATAAGTTATTAAAAAAATAATAATTGATGCCTTGTTATTTCGTTAAGTATTGGCTGAATTTTGTCGCAGTTTGTTTCAAGATGTTTCCACGTGTTGACTATCCCATGGGATGCATTAATAATAAATAAATCAGCGTTAATAATAAATAATCGGATGACTTTAGAGAAAATCAGGTTATAATTATTATTAACAAATTTTTTTAGATAATGGAGTAGATTATTTTAAAGTATTAACAGATATCGCCTGTGACGATGCTATGAATATAGTTTTAATAATATTATTATTATTATACTATATCTTTATTTTTTAAGTTTATTTATGTTTTTTAAATAATAGGTCTATGAATATAATTTACAAGTTTTAAAATATTGGATTTTATAAAATATATAAATATATATATACTTCGCTTTCTTAATAAAATCATCTTAAAAAACAAATATTTTATTTTAAAAATCATCCAAACTGACGCACATTTTATATCAACATATCGTCACAAAGTGATTTATAATTTTAGAGATTTTTTATAATTTTACTGGAGAAAATTTTTGCAATATTCAGGTTAACAAATTTTATGATTAATAGTAAATAATTAAGACAGAACTGTATTTGTATTAAATATGTATATATTTACAATAAATTTAGCATACCTATAGTCGTCAATCTCACAATCCCATTTTTATAATTTTATAGAAGAGCATTTTGAAAATTACTGCAATATTCGGTTTAACAATATACTTCGATTAACATATACTAGTACAGATATAAACCATAATAAGAAGTTTATTTTATACTATAGTATATTTTTAACCTGCAGTAAGTTTTAATACCTAAAATTATAAAGAAAATACGTACCTGTGAGATTGACAAGGATATGCCATATTTATTGCAAATATAAATATATTTTTTAAAAATACAGTTATATGCTAATTATTAATAATAAAATTTGTTAATTATAAATAAACTAATTTATAAAAAATAACTCAAAATTTAAATTAAATAAATTAATGTTAATAATTACTTCCCGGGTTATTTGTAATCAATTTAGTTTATTATAATAAATAAGATGTTTGTCACTTTAAATAACAATTGGTTTTTTAAAAATATCTGTTCTTTAATTTTTAATAAATTATTAACTACTTATTAAAATGGCATATTTATAAAAAATAAGGGTTTGGTTGTTTTTAATGCAATTTCATTTCTCACAGATAAAGTATTTGTTTATAATAAATAAATATTTATTTACCACAAAAAAAGTATATTAAAGTAATACTAATAAATTATTTGTTTTTAAAAAATAAATATTATCGAATAAATCCTTTATTTATTGTTAAACAACATCATTAATTGTAAATAAACTGTTCTTTCAGTGTGAATTACCCTAATTTAGGTAAGAATTTGTAAAATACTTAAATTTTGACAAAGAACAATTTCAATTTTAATTTTATTGAAAAATACGCGCATGAGAAATTCGAAATATGAATACGGATATATAATGCAGAGAAGTACGAAACTTGGCAAGAACATTTGATATGTCACTTAGGGTAGGAACAAAGTAGTCTGGGATAATCGCAGGATATCCAGGAAACAGCAGGAGTTGCGGAGAGCAAATTGCTGCCGTAGAATCCTGCACAATTCCTTCACTTTCGAAACGCTTTATTAATATTTTAGTGTGGAATCGAGCAAGAAATATTTAGAAAGACAAATATTTTTTTCTTTAAATTGTCATTCGATTTAATTAATATGCTAATTTAAAATTTACAAAAAGACAAGCTGTGACTTTATGGCGTTTTAGTCACGGGCTGAAACTTCTCTAGGCACTCGTACATATTATACTATTAATCAAAACAATTTACGGCGAAATGTACCTGTAGTAATGTTTAATAATTTATTGTTGTAAATAAAGTTTTTTTGTTTCATTGAAGAAACAGGAAGATTTAATTAAAATGTTTAATTATGGAACGGAGGAAGCTAAATTCCTAGATCCGTCTGCAAATAGTTAAAAAAGTTCTTTTAATTAAAATTTGTTTGTTGAATCCTTTATTTTCTCTGTTGTACTAGTAGTAAGACGTCTCTTTTGTCTCCTGTTTTACTTTAATTTTTTGTTATCATTTATTTATGTCCTGCTTCTACTGTTAAACGTTTTTTTAAATTATTCTATTTTAACTTTAAATGAACAAAAGTTTTTCTGTCTTAAACATTTTTACTTAGAAATAAGGCCGTACCTATATAAGATATAATCAAAGAATAACATTTTTTATAAGATAAAATAACTAACATGTTAATTACGAAGTGTGTTCAGAAAATATCGGGAATTTTCGTTTTTTGAAAGAAATAATTATTTATTCGTCTACATTAATGTTGTCGCCTTCAAAATAGTCCCCATTGGATATTATGCACATGTGCCAGCTCTTCTTCCAATATATTGTATACTCGAAACACTTCTAAAACTCGATCTTTGGGATAGCCTTTAGTTCTTTCAGCGATGCGCTTTTAATGTCATCTAGGCTTGCAAAACGACGGCCCTTTAAGGTATTCTTTATTTTTGGGAATAGGAAAAAGTCAGACAGAGGCATGTCTGGCGAATATGGAGGCTGGGGCATCATTACAGTAATGTTTTTGGACAAAAATTTTTTTCAATATTTAACAATTTTAGAACAAATTTTGCTGCCATGCGTTTCATGCCGAAAACATTCGAAAAAATTTCATGGGATGAGCCAATCGATATACCAACATCATCAGCGACTTCTCTGATGGTTTATAACCATTTATTCCACTTTTTCCATGTTTTTATCGGTTGTGTGCTTGTGCGTTCGGGGCGTTCGTCATCTTCAACGTCTTCACGACCATCTTGGAAACTCTTATACCACTTGTAAACTCTTGTTTAACTTATAGCAGACTCACTATAGGCCTTTGTTAACATTTCACAGAATTTATTTCATTGTTTAAGCAAAATTGGATACAAATTCTTTGATCCATTTCTTTTAACGAACGAAAAATCGCCGAGCTCATAAAACACGTCTAACCTTAGCGGCTGCCACAGACAAAGTAAACAATGAAAACAGCTAAAGTTGATATTATACTTCGGGGGCATGTATACCAACATAATAAAGAAAATTTTATGACAACCAGACCCTCCGAACCCGCGAAATTTAACAATTCCCGTTATTTTCTGAACACACCGCGTATATCAAATATCTTTGCTGTCTTTTTGTCTCCCGAAAAGCTGAATGCTTGAAATCTATTACACTGTACCAGTACAAGAGCTCTTGTAAGAGTGAAATTATTTTGGAATTTTTACGTTTAAAATGTCTAATTTCCTTTGGAATCTTGGGGCCTTAATTCCGGCTAACTACATCTATCAATCTATCAATCGGAAGTAAACTCGATTTATGTTGAAGGGACCGACCAAAGCAATTTAAGTTCTGTGCAGTTCGACAGCTCTAGATTACGATTACAGAGGCTATACCGGTGGAAAGCGAAGGTAAAAGCGACAGTGAAATGAAGGTGTGGAGCACGATGAAGTCGTAAAAGTTGCAATTTGCCGGCCGAAAACGAAACGGGGGAGACTGAGGCATTGCGAGGGTGTCCCGAACTGCATCCTTGGTCGGGCTTCTGTGACATTGCAATATCGGATTTAATAAAAATGATACCTTAAGCGTATGATGACCCCAAGCACCGAACAGAAAGCATAGAATATAAACTATGCACGTAACAATACGAATCAAACAAACAGGTAAACAATTATCTGACACAAACAAATGTCATAACTTATAAAAAATGTCCTATGAAGAAAACCCCTACGACTACCTATTTTTCAATGATGGCCTTAGGTCCATCGATTACGTCTTGGTGATTCAAAGGTCGGTCTTGACCAACAGAGGTCGCATACGCCGATTGGAAACCTTCGTGCAAAATTTGCAGAAATTTGGATTCGAATTTGAGAAAAAAACTTTTATTTTGGACGCGGACTTTGAATTTATCCTGCTGCATTTTAGGGAGGAAAAAATGTTCGATGTTTTGAAATCCTTTAAATACGAACTTACCATGAATTGCGAAATTTATAATTTTCCGGTAAATAAATTTGCGAGTTTTTTCAAAAATTTCCTTCTGAAACCCGTTAAATCCGATCCGCTGTATTTAAGAGCTCCAGATCTTTTTGATGGTAAGTTTTGAATAAAAGTGCTGAATCGCACCATTCCCCCTTAAAAGGTATGGGCCAATTTCAACAATGTTATCAGTTTTTTAAGTGTATTTTGGCCGGCATTATTATTTTTTTAGGTTTCAAACCCACAACCCTTACACCTGCAGAAAGAATTTTGGCAGTTACCTTAATTCTAAATAAAAATAGATTCGGAATTCATTGGTACGAATTTGGAATTTCGGAACTGATAAGAGTCCATGCCGCTCACTCTGCCTTTCCAATACACGAAGGTTAGTAGAATTTGATTGAATCAAGGGTCTTTCTATAGATTTTGTTGATCAACCTCAATTCCAATAGCAACTGAACTTTTGAAAAATAAAAACAACAAATAGATGTAAATGAATGTCGGTTCTTCAGCTGCTTTAATGACTTAATCAATTAAGGCATAATTATTTTCTTTATTAAAAAATTTCAACATGGACATGGGCAATGAATCTCTTTTTTTAAGGAAATTCTTTAAATTCCGAAAATGTTACTCAAATGGAGTTTTCTGGGTTTGATATTAAACTTGGCAATAACTTGAGTTATTCCATCCGATTTTCATAAAACTTTGACAGGATGTCAATGAAGAACGCCGATAGCCACCACTAGGTAGTGCTACTGAAATACCCCCACCAGCTTTGTCAGAAAAAGTAATTTTGTGTAAGTTTAACTTTACTAAAAGAATGTACAAAAAATTTAAATGCATAAATGAATTTAAAAGAATCTGGTAATGCTGACCCCAACAAACAGTGTTATATCCCTACCTCTCTTTATTCCTGATATAAATGATTGTGTAACCACCAAGACATAAAGTTGTTTTAATATTTCTTCGATATATCATTCAAATAGAGCCTACCAAACCCCATAAGTATTTTTCAAAAGTTTTGTTACTTTTTTAACGGATGGTAGTACACGCCAAAACCAGAATGTTTTTTCTCTTTCATTATGCATTGGAGGAACTGTTTAGTAAAAGAATTATGAAATTGTTTTGACAAAACCAGGGAGCCACTGGATGTCACCGACCTATCCCATATATCATTATTGTTTTTATCTAAAAAAACAATTATATTATTTATCCAAGCAAAAAAAGTAGGTAGGTACTTTGTTATCATTGATGTAAATTTCTGATGCAAAAATTATAGACAAAACACTTTCTTGTTTTGGCGTGTAATACCAAGGATGACAACCTATTTGGTGACACCCTGTACAGTAGTTTAAAGGTAACTGTAAGTTGATTTGTCTTTCTTATTTTAAAGGTGACTATCGGTGGAGCAAAAGTGGGCCGTTGACCAGAAGGCAGCTGCTGTTCGAGTTCGGGGCCCGAGCCAAACGATGGTTTCAGCTGCAACCTAGCAACATGATCGAAAGCTATTTCGGCACCGAGTACGCCTTTTATCACGACTTTATGCGCATGTACACTTACATGCTGCTCATACCGACCTCTGGTAGTATACTGGTGTTCGTGTGGGGATTTATGACTATTTCTTCCAGCCAAAACATCATAGCGGCTGAGGTTTGTGCTTCGGATAAGTTGATATGTCCGCGTTGCTCGAGTTGCCGCTATTTTTACCTGAGGGATGTGTGTTTCTCGGAAAACGTTTCCTACATTCTGTTCAACGGGGTGACGCAACTGTTTGCCATCCTGATTTCCATTTGGTCGACCATTTTGTTGTCCATTTGGCATCGCATCGAAGCGAAGAACCAGTTAAAATGGAACGTGTCATTTATGAAGAAGGATATTTCGATGAGACCGCAATACAAGCATTCCGCGTACTACAGAGAAGCCGATAGTGGACATTTGGAAGCTTACGTTCCCATTTATTCCTTTCTGTTAAACGCAGCCATTACTTTTCTGATCATGGCCGTGTTGATTACTATAAGCGTCAGTTTTCAAATTGGCATGCAATTTCTAAGAAGTTCCCTAACTAATAGGTTTGTGGACATCAACAACTCGGATAACGCGTATAAAAGCGGTAACCAAGTTGAGACAGCGTGGTCGTACTTTTTATTAGCGATTATCCTTGGTATATTTATGATAATCTACCAGAAATTTTGCTACTATGTCTCCTACAAAACGACCGAGTATGAAAACCCGAGGACTTTTAATGAATTTATGTCTTCGTACTGCTTCAAGTGTTACATCCTAGACTTTGTAAACTTTTACACTACTATATTTTTTGGCATTGTAAAAGGCAACGTAGATTTGGACCCAAGGTCTGGTTCAAATTCCTTGTTCAGCCAAGGCTGCATAAACGAGATGTGCTCCTTGAATATCGCCATATTACTGTTCACCATAGGATTTTTAAGAACTGTGTGGAAAGTAATAGGCAACTTTATCATACCAATCGTTCAGTATAAACTAAGGAAGCGTAAATACGAAAATAGCATATATTCGTGGAATAATCTCGAGCAATGGGAGAAGGATTTTTTGCTGATCGAAGCAGATTCAAATCTAATAACTCATGCAATGTTGGATGTGCTCGTAGAGTACGGATTTTTGACATTTTTTGTGTCTGCTTTTCCACTCACCCCTGCTTTGACTCTAATCAGCGGTATTATAACCTGGCGAATAGATTCGTATAAAACGATGACGTACTACAGACGGCCGAATTCAAGAAAAATCGATAAGATGCTCAATTTTTCGTTGTTATTAAAGTACACGACTTTCATAGGCATCATCACGAACACCCTTATTATATGCTTTAACGGCAAATTTCTAGAGGTAATAATGTACACATTCTTTTACAAGAGGGACTCGGGCCAAGAACCCCACCTATACACCTTCAAGTCAAAAGTAAAGACCTCGGAGGTTTTTTCTCTTTACAACTACACAGTGAAGGAAGAATATTGCTATTATAATTCACCAAAGGAGGAACGTAATATCGAAAGTTTGGAGTTCGATTATTATCCAAGCCAACAACTCCTTTTTATTATTATAGTGCATGTGGTGGTTCTCCTGCATAAAATTGCGTCTCTTATCATTCCCGTCCTTCCGCAATCAATTATTGAAGAAACGGCGCATTTACAAAAACTAAGAAGAATGGAAAAGTTTCAAATACTTGAAAGGACCGTTATTTCCCAAAGAAGGGAGAAACTCGAAAACGAACGGTTTAAAGTGAAAATATAATTTTTACACCATGTTTATATTTTAAATTATATTGTACTCTATTTTTTATTATATTATACAAAACGAAATTTCCATAAATGTTTACTTTTTAATACCTAGCATACCTTGATAATTAATAAAAATACTATTTAATACATTTTATGTTAATTGTTAATATTTTTAAATAAATTTGTAATTTAATAAATAATAAAATTAATTTATAAATGGAAATAAATAACTAATGCAAAAAAGATTATAAAATAAAACCAAAATTGAGTTTGAAAAATATGTATGTCTTATTTTTTTTTTAATACTTATAATTTTAAATTTTAGACCAAGTTGTTTTCTGCTTTTTAATTTATAAATTATGAGCTTGTTCTTTAAATAGAAACAGTAGGTTTTGGGTAAGAAACAACAAGAAGGTTAGGGTATTTTTTCTGAGGAAATTTTTACTCTATTGTTTATTTTTGGGCCTAGTTAAACATAAAAGTAAATGAAATGCAGGGAATAAAGGGCAGCAACAAAGGTATTTCAAATTGAATATACATATTATATTATATTATAACATTAGATTACATTATTATTAACAATTTTTGCCAATACAAGTTTAAGACATTTTATAAGAAAATAAAAATACACCATGTAGTTAAAAACAATTATTTTTTCTCTAAAGCAAACAAAATATTTTTGGTTCAAATTGTTTTTCTTATTTGAGGAGTGATTTTTCAAAAGGTCATATTTCCTTTTGCAACAAATTTTCTAAAAACGAATATAACCTATATAGGTTAGGGCGACTGTAGACCTGCTGTCGTATTGGTGGTTTAAATTTTATACCTTTTGTATGAAATCATTTTGGAAATGTGCTTTTTTGCTGTGTACAAACTTGGAAATATTACTATTTTATTGAATACCGTTTTAAAAAAAATATATGGAAAAATATCTTTATTTTGCTAATAATATTGAAAAATATGTAAGGCTTATATTCTAAGGATATCCATCTCTGGCTCATTACATAAACACATCACTTCTTCATCATATTCTTAACATTCAATATCTTGTGCAACATATTCACCATTTAATATATGTCTTTTAACCATACCTTTGCGATTTTGTCGAAAAATTACATTCAAGTAAAAATTGAAATACGGCCTTTTGAAAAATCAATCCTCATTTGTAATATTTATTTGACAAATAATAAAAAATTTGCAAGGCAAAAAATATTTTTATTTTCAAAATAAAATACACAGGGTAAAAAAAATTTGGGCTAGAACTGCAAAAGTTAAATTTTAAAATTTGCTTTATTAGAGTAAGAGTTTTTAATAGTACGAGTTTTATTAGGAACGAGCGAAGCTTGCGAGCGAGTGTTTAATAAAAACTAGTATCTAGAGAAGTTTATAAAACGAGTTGCATACTATACGATCAACATAAATTTAAAGCCAATTTTATTTGTTGACATCTGACAACTTTTAACCTCACTTTTTCCTAATTAATAATAAAGTTAACTTCAGCCCGTGACTAAAATTCCGAAAAGCCACTGTTGTTAACTTCAGCCCGTGACTAAAACGCCATAAAATCACAAACAAATTGTATAAGGCATGCAAAATTTTTTTTATTGGGTCTCGATGTCTTCGACATTATTGCATTTATTTTTCAAAATGTGCCTAAATGCCTAAAAAGTTGTATTCCTGTAACTATAATATCCTTATTTTCTTTACTATAACACACACTACACAAGTTAAAATTTGAAATTTTCGATTACTTATTTAAATATAAAACGTTTTAAAACTAATTTCCAGTCATTAAAAGTATCAAAACATAGAATAACCATTAAAGTTTAAAATATTTCCTTTAAATTTAGCGCGCACCCCTTCCAACTTTAATTCTAAACGCTTAAATCATTGCCCGACCGCATAATAGAGAAATAGTAATCCCATAAATTTGCGCTTCATATACGTCACACATTGCCGATACAACATCATGCTCCCCACCGCTGCACAGTGCCGCCGGCACCCCCGCAAGGCGGGGATAATACGCGAATTTTTGTAGACATTGAGGCCCACAAAGTTGGGCTTGTACCACAGTATATGGAAGACAGCAGTCAGTCCCGAGATCTGTGCGGCTCGCTTATCAGCCGTTGTAAAAGACGCCAAAAATAATTATTAATCTAAAAATAATTATTGTAAGATAATAAATGAAAATCCCACCTCGTCCCGCACTTTTTGTATTATTCTAGCTAAATTACAAAAATAATAACAATTATCATAAAATTTATTAAATAGTATTTTTATTAATTATCAAGGTATGCTAGGTATTAATAAGTACACATATATGGAAATTTCGTTTTGTATAATATAATAAAAAATAGAGTACAATATAATTTAAAATATAAACATGGTGTAAAAATTATATTTTCACTTTGAACCGCTCATTTTCGAGCTTCTCCCTTCTTTGGGAAATAACTGTCCTTTCAAGTAATTGAAACTTTTCTATTCGTCTTAGTTTTTGTAAATGTGCCGTTTCTTCAATAATTGATTGCGGAAGGACGGGAATGATAAGAGACGCAATTTTATGCAGGAGAACCACCACGTGCACTATAATAATGAAAAGGAGTTGTTTGCTTGGATAATAATCGAACTCCAAAGTTTCGATACTACGTTCCTCCTTTGGTGAATTATAAAAGCAATATTCTTCCTTCACTGTGAAGTTGTAAATTGAAAAAACCTCCGATGTCTTTACTTTTGACTTGTAGGTGTATAGGTGAGGTTCATGGCCTGACTCTCTGTTGTAAAAGAATGTGTACATTATTACCTCTAGAAATTTGCCATTAAAGCATATAATAAGGGTGTTCGTGATGATGCCTATGAACGTCGTGTACTTCAATAGCAACGAAAAATTGAGCATCTTATCGATTTTTCTTGAATTCGGCCGTTTGTAGTACTTCATCGTTTTGTACGAATCTATTCGCCAGGTTATAATACCGCTGATTAAAGTCAAAATAGGGGTGATTGGAAAAGCAGACACAAAAAATGTCAAAAATCCGTACTCTACGAGCACACCCAACATTGCATGAGTTATTAGATTCGAATCTGCTTCGATCAACAAAAAATCCTTCTCCCATTGCTCGAGATTATTCCACGAATATATGCTATTTTCGTATTTACGCTTTCTCAGTTTAAACTGGATGATTGGTATGATAAAGTTGCCTATTACTGTCCACACTGTTCTTAAAAATCCTATGGTGAATAGTATTATGGCGATATTCAAGGAGCACATCTCGTTTATGCAGCCTTGGCTGAACAAGGAATTTGAATAAGACCTTGGGTCCAAACCTACGTTGCCTTTTATAATGCCAAAAAATATAGTAGTGTAAAAGTTTACGAAGTCTAGGATGTAACACTTGAAGCAGTACGAAGCCATAAATTCATTGAAAGTCCTCGGGTTTTCATACTCGGTCGTTTTGTAGGAGACATAGTAGCAAAATTTCTGGTAGATCATCAGAAATATACCAAGGATAATCGCTAATAAAAAGTGCGACCACGCTGTCACAACTTGGTTACCGCTTTTATACGCGTTATCCGAGTTGTTGGTGCTCAAAAACCCTATCGTTAGGAAATGCCTTAGAAATTGCATGCCAATCTGAAAACTGACGCTTATAGCAATCAATACGACCATGATCAGAAAAGTAATGGATGCGTTTAACAGAAAGGAATAAATGGGAACGTAAGCTTCCAAATGTCCACTATCGGCTTCTCTGTAGTACGCGGAATGCTTGTATTGCGGTCTCATCGAAATGTCCTTCTCCATAAATGACACGTTCCATTTTAACTGGTTCTTCGTTTCGATGCGATTCCAAATGGACAACAAAATGGTCGACCAAATGGAAATCAGGATGGCAAACAGTTGCGTCACCCCGTTGAACATAATGTAGGAAACGTTTTCTGATACACACATATCCTTCAGGTAAAAATAGCGGCAACTCGAGCAACGCGGACATATCAATTTATCCGAAGCACAAACCTCAGCCGCTATGATGTTTTGGCTGAAAGAAATAGTCATAAATCCCCACACGAACACCAGTATACTGCCAGAGGCCGGTATGAGCAGCATGTAAGTGTACATGCGCATAAAGTCGTGATAAAAGGCGTACTCGGTGCCGAAATAGCTTTCGATCATGTTGCTAGGTTGCAGCTGAAACCATCGTTTGGCTCGGGCCCCGAACTCGAACAGCAGCTGCCTTCTGGTCAACGGCCCACTTTTGCTCCACCGATAGTCACCTTTAAAATAAGAAAGACAAATCAACTTACAGTTACCTTTAAACTACTGTACAGGGTGTCACCAAATAGGTTGTCATCCTTGATATTAGACGTCAAAACAAGAAAGTTTTTTGTCTATAATTTTTGCATCAGAAATTTACATCAGTAATCAATGATAACAAAGTACCTATTAACCGATTTTGAATAAGTTTAAAAGTTTGCTTGATATTACATAATACACAGTGCGAATACCTGTTTCTTTTTTGCTTGGATAAATAATATAATTGTTTTTGGAGGTAAAAACAATAATGATATATAGGATATATCCTATAGGTCAGTGACATCCAGTGGCTCCCTGGTTTTGTCAAACAAATTTTATAATTCTTTTATTAAAAAAACAGTTGCTCTAAGGCAAAAATGATAGAGAAAAAACATTCTTGCTTTGGCGTGTACTATCATCCGTTGAAAAAGTAACAGAACTTTTGAAAAATACTTATGGGGTTTGGTAGGCTCTATTTGAATGATATATCGAAGAAATATTAAAACAACTTTATGTCTTGGTGGTTACACAACTTTATGTCTTGGGGGTTACACAATCATTTATATCAGGAATAGAGAGAGGTAGGGATATAACCGTGTTTGTTGCGGTCAGCATTACCAGATTCACTTAAGTTCATTTATGCATTTAAATTTTTTGTACATTCTTCTAGTAAAGTTAAACTTACACAAAATTACTTTTTTTGACAGAATCTGATAAAGCTGGTGGGGGGTATTTCAGTAGCACTATCTAGTGGTGGCTATCGGCGTTCTTCATTGACATCCTGTCAAAGTTTTATGAAAATCGGATGGAATAACCCAAGTTATTGTCAAGTTTAATATTCGG